ATCGCGTGCTCATGATAGCCGCCATGAGCTTCTTGGTGGTCCTGATGGTGGTTGGCCTCTTGACCGGCTGATCGTCACCCCCTGGTAGGGTGAGGCCGTACATGCACTGGTCGAAGGTCGCCATGTAGCCCGGTAGGTTGGACCAGGCCTTGGTCTGCGAGGCCCTCGATGTGGCTGGATGCTCCACGCGAGCATGACGTCCGCCCTCATACTGGATGTGGTATACGTCCGCCACAAACTGCAGGCGCGTCCGGTGATGCCAGTCGCGTAGCTCGATAAGGTACCCCTTCCAACCTGTATGTTCAGGACCAGGGTCCGCACATCGGTGAGAGATGAACTTCGTCTGGCTGTTCTTCGTGTAACTTGCGCTTGAACCGCTCCTGGTGTTCGACCTTCGCGAAGTCGCAGCCCGTGTGTAGCCCGAACGTCTCGACGTCCGCTCCGAGGTCGCGTAGACTCTGAGATAGCCGCGCCTCGCCGGCATTGACCTCCCAGACTTTCCGTCGCGTAGTGCAGCGCTTTGCCGCTGCCCGCCGCATCGTCTGCCTGCACTGGTCGCTCGCGTGCTTGATCGCCGAGTCGATCTTCTGAATGAAGTTGGTCGTGACCTGCCTCTTGTCGCCGTCGTCGCTGCTGTACGTGTCCTGCTCGGTGAGCTGCGTCGCGTCGCTGTAGGCCTCCGCCAGGCACCAGCATGGCTCTGGCAGGTTCGGGTCGACTGGCTGGATCCGCGTTGTCGCGAAGCAAAGGTTGTCGCAGGAAGCATGATTTCGGCACCGATACTGCTTCGTGTACTCGCCGCAGCAGTTGACCTTCGCGACTCGTTGCGGGCATCCTTCTGAGTGCGCCCGCTGCGGTGCAACCTCCCACTGCTCCCCGTCGTCGCTGCTGCTGTTGTCGACCTTGTAGATTTCGTCTAGAAGCTCCAGGCCGCCGATGGTCCTGTCGCCGTCCATGAACTCCCTGAAGTCGACCGGTTCGCACTCGAAGTCGAGCTTCGCGTCCTTCGTCTGGTCGTCCATGTCCTCGAGCAGGTCCACCATGTAGTGGCCTTGCGGAGACGTGCGCGCCTCCTCGTAGCCGCCGCCGTTCCACGCCAGCTGCTGATTCGCAAAGTCGACCTGCACTGCGAACTTCTCCAGTAGGGGCCGTGGGAAGAGTATTGGCGTCTTCCCTGGAGCGAGGTAAATGTACAGGGCCCCCGTCTTGCTCTTGAAGCTCGCTGGAATGATGCCGCGCCACAGCGCGTGCTCCACCTTGCCGTTGCCGAATCGGAATGGCCTCCGACACGTGTGAAACTCCAGCGTCTCAATCGGGTAGCCCCTGGCGTGGCATGTTGTCAGGTATTCCTTAATGGTCTCCGAACCTGACATAAGCGTAGTCGCGCCGCCGCCCAGGATCGCCAACTGTGCGGGAACGACGCTGGCCGTCTTGCGGTTGCCCCAGTAGACTTCGTCAACCATCATCTTTTGATCCATCTGTCCGTGGGGCCGCTTCTTCGGTGGCTCCGGGCAGTCCTTCGCCCAGTGTCCCACTCCGCCGCATCGTGGACACGTCGCCTTAGATGGTGCTGGCCTCGTAGCTCCTTCCGCCCTCTCCGTAGGTCTCGGCCTCGTGTACGGATTGAATGGGCGATGTGGTGCCGAGTGTGGTGAGCCCTTCCGTCCTGGGCTGCTCTTCCGTCCAGCTCCTTGAGAGCGTCCGCGTCCTTTGGCTCCGCCCTTCCTGGGAGGGCGCCTCGGTGCTGCTGATACTGACGATCCCGTCGCGCCTGGTACCATCGCCACTACTGGGTAGTAGCCGCGTGCAAGCTTCACGTCGTTGAAGCGCTTGCGCGCGTCGTGGTAGGCCGCGTAGGCCTCGTCGTACTCCGACGCGTCGAAGTCCTGCATCGTCGCCGTGTCCCGCTGATAGTAGGCCTCTTCGCAGTCGGACCAGCTCTCGTCGCCGTCCTCGGCCCAGTACTCCTGCTCGTAGCCGTCATCGAACTCTAGTTCGTCGTCTTGGCCATCGTATGCATCCTCTTCGTAGTACTCTCCTATCTCGTCGTCCACGTGGTACTGCTTCCGTGCATGATTAGGCTCGTATACCGTGCTCTCCTGTCCGAATGTCGTCTCCAGCGCCTCGATCAATTTGTCCTGTGTAATATCCTTGCCCGCGATGGACGTGATGACTGCCTTCTGGTCTGGACTGTCGCCGTCTCGTCGTAGGATCAGCCATCCACGAACCGTAGATGGCAACTCGATGTCGTGTCTTGAGCTTCCGCTCTGCTGCTCGAACTCTTGAGATGTAGCCGAGCAGCGTCTCTCTTCGATTGCGTCGTAGCTTGTAGAAATACTCCTCAAAGTCATCTGCCAACTCCGTCCGTGTCCATCTCGAATCGCTTCCGTAAGCGTGTGAGCAGCGCTGTAGCCGCGCCAGGCTTGATCAGGTCGTCCGCCGTGAAGTTTTCGACTTCGTCCCAGGCTTCACCCGTCAGCCCGGCCGATAACATGAGAGCCGCCTCGCCCTCCTTCTTCTCCAAGGTGAGGTTCGCTATGAGCATAGTCGCCCGCTTCTCGTACTCCTTCCACCTCGACAGTGTGCCATCGAACTGTGGAACTCCACATTATGGTAGAATCGCCTGCTGGTCATCAGCTCCTCTGCAGCCTGCTTTCGCCATGATGCTAGCCTTTGCTGCGTAGAGGTCGCCGTCGCTGTCGTTGTGGTTGTCGCTCTGGGCCTCGTTGGATCGTAGCTGGGCACGAAGTTGCCTGCTATGGAGTAGTGGCCGTTGAACTCGAGTGGTGGGCCGTCGAACTCGAGCGGTCCACCGAATATGGAGGGCGCAGACGAGCCTGCCCAAAGATCGACAGGCTCCGCTACCAAAATGAACTTATCAAAGCACACGAAGTCTTCGACGGCAATGAATACAACACTGCTTGCGCAAGAGAATATCATTCTCACAGCGCGCTCGGTCTGACTCAAGGGCCCTGCCGCAATCCAGGGCCAAAACGGTTGCGGGCTCGTGCTATACAAACACACACACACACGCGCACAAGCATACTCACTAGATGTGCAGCGTCTATATCACGGGGGGGGCTCGTAGGCCACTTCACTTGCACACGCGATTTACATCGCCTGTGTGCTAGGACTCTTGGTTCAGCTGGATGCTCTCCCACCGCAATTGCCAGATGTCGAAACTGAGGCTCTGCGCTGGCTGGTCCCGGGTACTGGCCAGTGGTCCTGCCCTCGCGACTTCAAGCGCATATATACGATGCTGCACGCGGCTGGAACTGAGTCTCCCAGCCCTCTTGTCCTGTTCCTTTCCGCCCGCTTTCTCCGTATTGCGGTGCCGCTTTGCAGGGCCAGGCCGGCTGGGCGATGAAGGCCGAAGCCCAGGATGCTCGTCAGGAGCGGTCGTTCGCACTCCTCTTCTTCGCCCGCCCGTCCCCCCCACGCTCTTGTGTATAGGGTTGTTGTTTTGTGGAGACTTGCCGATCTGTCAATTTAGATCAGATTCTCGACGGAATTCTGAGGTCAGGATTCCGGCGGGGGGGGCGCGTTTCGTTTGCCCACCGCCTCCCCCGGGGGGCCCCACGCCTAGGGGGCATGGGACCGCTTCTCTCCCCGCCTTTCCTTCTCTCCCCTCCCCTCCTTTCGCTGTTGGTGCTGCTGCCTTTTCCCTCCTCCCATCCTTCTTCTCCCCCCCCGAATCTTCGGTGGGCGGCCCCTTGCTCTCCTCGGGTTTGTGGCCCCCTCGCGGGGGGGTGGCGCCTGAATTGGCGGCGCCCGAACCCGCGCGGGGGAGCTTGGCCAGTAGGGCACTGCAGGCCAAAGCCGACGATGGTCGACAGGAACGCACAATATTTCTCCTCCCCTCTCCCCTCTGCCTGCTCTCCGTCTCCTACTCTCTCCTTCCGGGGCGCGGGGCGCCATTTGGCCAGTCCAGGCCGGCAGGCTTGTGGCTGTCCCGACAGCGTGGCCGATGGCTGGCGGGAAAGCGCTTGCCTTGGACTCGGCCCCCGAGGGTGGACGCCGGCGTGTCGTTCTATTTGGGGGATGCCAGCCCGTCGATTTTTCCAGGGTTGATTTGACCCATCTCTCAATTCACGGTTCCTCTCCTCTCCTCCGTCCTCCCTTCTCTCTCTCTCTCGTCCCTCCCTGTCCTCCGTTTCCCCTTCAATTGGCAGCTCATGCCTCTGCTTGCATGGGTTTGCCGTGCTGATGGTTGGCAGCCGCTGCCGGCCGACCTTGCGCTGCAGTTTCAGCTCTGTTTCGCCCTCCAGCCGCTGCTGAGCAGCGTGCGCCGAGCTGGGCACTGATGCCCGCCTAAATCATGATGTCTATTTTGGCGAATGCTTGCGCCCAACTTATAATTTTCTTTTATTTGCCCTTCCTCTTGCGGGCTTCCTTATCCCCCCTTGGCTTCCCACTGCTTGCGTTGGATGCCAGTGCGGGTCCCGCTGGCTGGAGTTAGCTGGTTACGCACGCGCGAGTTTCACTGATCTTTCTCTTTCGAGCTGCTTCCTGCGGGCGCCAGAGTTGGTTTGATCGGCCACGCTCGCAGGACAGGCTGCTCGCACGTCGCCAGTCTGCCTGCAATGCGTTTCATTTCTCAGCATGTGGTCAGCGTCTTATGTGCTATCCTCCTTCTCCTCCTTCCCCTTGATTGCGGTGACATGTATCCGGCCAGCAATTTCCGAGCGCTGCCGCTATAGTGCTACAGAGCGGTGCGAACCCATGTGCGCGCGTTTTGCCTGGGGACAACTGCGGTTCGTTGATGGCGTGGTTGATTGCAGCCCGTATGAGGGGAGGCGGATTCAACAGAAGCTGTTGGGTGCTTGTGTGCAAAACAAATAAAGGCCTCGAACATCCACTTAATTACCAAATTGACCGACACCCGCTACTATTGCCGTTCCGCTGCCAGGCAATGACCTTCGGTTCTAGCGTTTATAGATTTGCCCCGTCGCTTGATGCCGCTAACGCCCATGCTCAAGTTACACGCTGCGCGCTCCAAGGTCGACGGCCCATGCGCAGAGCATTGGCGTCCCTATGACATGTTGAGATCGCAGCTCCATCCGCGCAATTTGTTGGAGCTGGAAATCTTGGCGGGGGGACGAAGCTGAAGTGAGCAGAGCAGCGATATCTTGAGTTCCGAATGAGGGTCAGCGGTTATTGGGAAGCTACGCTCAAAGTTGTCGCCCTTGAGAGGCCCAGTTTCAAAAGTATCGAGACTGGGGTAGTGTAGGGGGCAGTTGCACAGATGTGATCATGTGGGGCCTTCTTTGGATCTGGTCGAGAAGGTCGAGGACGAAAAGGGGGATGGGAGAGAATATGGGGGGACGAGGAAGGGGAGGAAGAGGAGGAGGAGGAGGAGGAGGAAGAGGTGGAGGAGGAAGAGGAGGAGGAGGAGCAGGAGGGGGAGGAGAACATAATGATGCGCTGCGATGCGATGCAACTCGGATGGGTGTGCGGATGCTGGATAATCGCGGCTCGTTGCCACCGAGCGTTCGCAGCTAATGCGCCTTTGGATGTGGTCGAGTAGGTCGAAGACGAGGAGGGAGATCGGAGAGAAGATGGGGAGATGACGAGGAGGAGGAGGAGGAGGAGGAGGAGGAGGAGGAGGAAGAGGTGGAGGAGGAGGAGGAGGAGGTGGAGGAGGAGGAGGAGGGGCGATGAGAACAGGATGATGCGATGCGCTGCGATGCGATGCAACTCGGCTGGGTGTGCGGATGCTGGATAATCGAGGCTCGTTGCCACCGACCGTTCGCAGCTAATGCATGCAGGCTGGCAGCGCCGAGTCTGCAGTTGGCCGGCCCATCGTCTGCTTGGCCCTGGTACATGGCAAGCCCGTCGGATCTGCGTATGACATGATCACCGTGTGGGTGTGGCATTCGTTCTCGGTGTGCTTGACTCTTTTTGTCTCCTTTGGCTACGCTCAGAACCTCTGCTACACGGGTGCCCTTCCAGGCGTGGGATGTGCTGCGTGAGGTTGATCTGGTGCAACTATGTCCTCTCTGCACCGCTCCTTGGGCCCGTCCCACAGCGAACAGCAACGCTGCGATAGACTGCAGCTATGTGCCACTTGTCTGTGAGCCCAAGTTTGCCAGAGGCTCTCGCTGCTCGTCCATTACGCCTGAGATCACGCCTTTTCAGCTAGCGGAACGCGCACTGGCACCAGATGTTCGATGCAGTCTACACCTCCACCACAAAAAAGGCACGCTGCTACACGCGGCTGTTTGAATGTCGCCACGGGGGTTCATGCGTCTCGTGGTGGGCAGCGCTCTGGAAAGAAATTGGGCGAGTCCTCACCTGTGGAATTGCGAGATCGTGCTCGGGAGTCGCCGCAGATTGGCCAGGGCATGTCTCGGGCTGAGGCCATGGTCCCGCAGCTGTTCCTGGGCATACCCATCCACCGCGTCGACCTCCGCGGCAATCAAGTGTGGATGCAGTGCCTGCGCTGTATTGACTGGTCGAGGGCCAAAGGGCGGTATAACAGAATGCGCTGTTGCGCTGGTGGCGTCGCGGAACAACATTGATGACCGCTCGCAGGGTCTCGGCATTCGCATGGGATTACCATGGCTCCCGATGTTGAGGTTACGGGTCTCTTACTGGATAGCAGTGTCTGATTTTCTTGCAGGGTTGGTCACAAGCCCAGGGCGGTCATGTATGGAGTTCCGTTGCTTGGCATAACGTTCGTTCCCTGTGTGTGTGGCAGCAGCAAGAACCGATGTGTGAGGAGCGCCTTGACGAATTGGCACGTCCCTGTTTCGACTCTGCTCCTCGAATACCCTTGCACGAACGCAGTCTGCCAGTGGCACAGGAGAGCAGGGGAGGGAAGGATAGCAACGATTCTGACAGCCTTTGGCATTGAGCTCTCCTTCTGTACCCCCTTCTGTTCCTGCCGACGCTCTCGCATATCTTTGAACGCATCTACTGTCGTGGCATCACCATCAACCTGAACTCCTATCGACCGCTTGCGCGGCACAACCTTGCGCTCCGCTCAGTCGGCCGTGACTACGATTATTAAATGCTCTGATGCCTCCCTGTTCGCAACGGGCCTGCACTTGCCTTGGCTCATGACCTGCCCATGCACCGCCTGGACAGGGTCGAATACCCTCCTGATGCTAGGGATGGCTCTCGGACATTCAGAGGCTTGCGGAATACTGGATGAGCAGTTTGCTGCTCTCTTCTACCCAACTCCTGGCACGCCAGAACTTTGCACCGTCAATCATGCGCCTCGGCACGTCGGCAAAATCTAAGCGTTACGGCATAAACGTGCGTTCCCTGATCAAACTTTCGCCTCGGGGCCGTGCCTGTCGACGCGTGTCCTTTGCATGGACGAGGGGGTTGGGGTGAGATATTCGAGTTAGCGAGAAGAAAGTTGAGGGAGGGGAAGGAGATGGGTGAAAGAGAGGAGCAAGGGAGGAGTGAGCGAGAGGGAGAGGGAGGGCAGGGACGCGTGGAGGGGGCCTGGTGCCCCTTGTCCCCTGGCGGCTCGGACGGCGGAGGAACTGCCAGATGTTCGTCAGCGAACTCCAGTCGTTCTTGCGCGGCTCATCGGGCGCGGACTTCCCGAGGACGGCCGTGGGCGGCTTGCCGGGGGACTGACTGGACTCTGTGTGCGAAGATGTCTCTTGCCCCACGGTTGGGATTCTGCCTTAGGGGAGGGGCAAGCGGGGTTCCCTTGGCAGCCTGCGTACCCCCGGTGCCTCAATTAGTCTTCTTGCCCCTCGGGTGGCGGGGTTGGCCTCTCCTCCTCGCTCCTGCGTTCGGGCGTCTCTCAGTCAAAGATGTTCTCATGTTCCATCGGGCTGATCGCATCGCGTGAGCGCTTGTCCGACTGGACTGTTCGTCCTTGATGCACTCATGCGTCGTCTTCTGCTGACAGAGAGCGTTGGCGTTGGGTCGGAAGCCTGTCTTGCATTCCCCCTAGTTTTGCGGACACTCACCGCCTGTGCGGAAGAAGTGTGGGCACCAGTTGCAGCAGTGGCAGTCGTCGTCGGAGTCGATGTTGTAGTCGTAATCGTCATGTAATGCGTGCGCACCAGCTCGAGACCTACAAGGTCACCAGAAGCGGCAGCGGCAGCCTGGGGACTGTCCGCGTGCGCATGGCTGGGCAATGGCGTGACGTTTAAGCCTCCCGCTGACCTGGCGCTCTCTCCCCACGCGTGCTACCGCCACGCCCACCTCCAGATGCTGAAAGCCCCGCGGCCGTGTTGTAACATGCCGTCGGGCAGGTCGGAACCGCGCGAGAACGATGTGGACGCATTGTGGATGCGCATCGTGCACATAGCCTCGCGTGGTCAAGGGGCGGAGGCACCACCATTTGTCACGACGCTGTCAGGGGGGCACATTGCCACGTGTACCCGGGATGGCATTGGCATCGGTACGGCCACAGACGAGGAAGCCAGGCTTGACGCGGTCTGCTGCCAAGCGCGCATGGACATCTCACTGATTGACCCAGTGCACCAGGGCACTGCAGGGCGGCTCCGCGGCCGCTGTGCGAGCGCAGGGACGGCGCCAGAAACACCCGCGATATGTATTTAGGGAGCTCGTCTATTTTGTGATTGACCTCAACGTCCGATGTGGCGCGGAAGCGAACGTGGTGCAGCCAGACGCCGCTTCTGGGGCATGATCGCCTGGACGCCACAGTGGTAGATTGCCAGCCAAGCTGCCATGTCGATCGAATGTTCGTGACTCGGCGGCCTTCGAGGCTGCTGTCTTAGCCTGAGCGTTGGCACCCGTTGATCAGACCAGGAGCGCGCAAACCCGCAGTCCAGCTCGCACGCCCGCGGCCAGCGCCCGCGGCCCAAGCCAACTTTTGGATCTGGACAACGGCGTGTCCCGCAGTGTGTTTGTTGATGCCTCTCCGTATCGAAAGCAGGCGTGCAAGTTTGGGACGCCCCGCTTTCGATCTGTTCGGGCCCGTGGCTTCTGGCCTTCACAGCTCGGGCTCGCCCCGCCGCCCCCCTTATTCTTTCTCCTCCCAGGCCTTCCCCCAGACCTGCGGCCACCGCGCACGGACAGGCAGTGGGCATTGCTCGTTCACATCTGCACGGCGGTCGCGGCACCCAGTCTGGGTTATGATGGGATTGGCGGTCGCGTTTCGAAAGGGGAACGGGATATCCCCGAATTTGTCCGTAACTTCTTGGGGGCGGGGGGCGGTGGGGGGGCGTTGTTATGTTTCGTCGCAGGTGATTTCTCGCCCCCGTCCTGCGACTTTCCCACCAAAAATCAAGCCGCTCAGGAAAGGAGGGAAACTCGGGGATACATTTCCAGGGGGCCATTCGCACGCGCACGCGCCCCTTTTCGAGGATGAGTGCCCCCCTATCATATGTCCCATAATTGAGCCTGAAATTTCCCTGCCATTGTGGGTGCGGGGTCTGGTTTCGGCGAGGTCCTGGGGGGCGATTTACCGTTCTGTTCGCCGAGATGGCCGTTGGGGGGGCTCAATCGCTTCTTCTGGGCGCGGCCAGGGAAGGGGCTTGTGATGCAGGTAGTTCCAGACGGAGGGGAGGAGGTCTTTGAATTGGCTCGTCTGAGAGGTTTGTGACTCTCACCCCTTGTATTGTGTTTCGCGTCAGCGGCCAACCTCACCCTCGGCGCACTCACCCTCGGCGATGGTACTGCTGGCCGTACTCTCTCTCTCTCTCTCTTAAGTTGTTTATCTCTCTCCCTCTATGTTGTTGATTATTTTGTTTCTCTCTCTCTCTCTCTCGTTTTTTGTTCTCTCGCTCTCTCCCTCTCTCTGAAGAATGTTGCCCCTCCCCTTGAGGCAGAATGTCAGGAAGCATTACTTGACATAGCCATTTCGGTACGAGCTGAGATCGAAAAAATGATCTTGATGGTAGTGGAGCGGGTCATCCCCACGACTCGCTCCATCCCCGCGCGCGGCCGCGGGGTGGCGTAGCGGGCGGGGCTTTGGATTCGAGCCTCGCGCCCTCGTGCAGCTAGGCGGCATGAACGAGCAGCAGGTGTTCGCGGTCTTCACTCAGATGTCCGACACGTTGAGGCAGCAACAGGCTGCCATGGCGGCTTCTCAGCAGCGCTCGGATGAAGCGATGGCCGGTCTGGCCAGATAGCTTCAGGAGCAGAGCGCGGCGCTGCAGGCAGCAGTGCAAGCTAATGCGGATGTCTTGCGTCAGGAGACCGCGACTCGCAAGCACGAGGGCGTGGTCGACTCAAAGGCCGTGCAGAAGCCTGTGCGCTTCAGTGGCAAGGAGAGTGATTGGGCTGGATGGTCACTTAAGTTCGATACCTGGTTGTCCAGCCAGTACGAGGACGTCGAGAAGTTACTGGATTGGGCGGCCGGAGCCGGTCCAGAGTCGATCACCGACATCAGGGTTACCGAGCTCGTGGGCGAGCTGCCGAAGGCCGTAGAGTTCAACATGGCAGGACTTTACATCCCATCCCAGTGTCACACACGACTAATGGAACAACTGCCTTCGACCTCATGAGGAACACGCGCAAGACCCAAGGGTTATACGGATGGCGGAAACTGAGCCGGAAGTACGACCCACGCCACCCGAGTGCCAACCTGCGCCTCTTGCGCAAGATTTTGAAGCCACCCCAGGTCTCAACTGACAACCTGTTGTCGGCCGTTGAACAACGGGAGCAGGACTACGTGCACTAGAAGGTGCGCACGGAGGAGCAGCTGAGCGACCCCATCAAGCGTTCGACTCTTCAGGCTATGTGCCCAGACATTTTGTCAGAGCACTTGGACCTCAACGTGGGGCGCCTGCGGACCTACGAGGCGCTCAAGCTGGAGATTGGCGCTACGTGGAGCAGACCGTGGCACGAACAGGGCCCACGCCGATGGATTTAGGGAGCTTCGGGCCCAAAGGGATGCCCAAAGGGGGCAAAGGTAGCGACAAGGGTAAGGACGGAGGCAACGGCAACGGGAAAGGTAAGGACGGCGGCAAAGGTAAAGGCAGGGATGACGATAATCCCCGCAGAGGCAGCAGTATGGGGGCCGGACGCGGCCAACAGCAATTCCAAGGGTATCGCGGCAGGTTTTGGCGATGGAGCCATAAGCGGGCGGACTGCTACAGCAGGGCGGACGTGAACGGCAACCCGCTCGCGCCCAGGCAGGACGCGCCCAAGGGTGACCTCAAGGGCAGGCCCAAGGGTGCGCCTAAAGGCGGCCGCGGGGGCAGCTGTCGTAGCGGCGGCGGCGCGCACGAGCTGAGCGAGCAGACGTATCCGACCGACGGTGCGCCGGCAGGGAGTGGGGAGGTGAGCATACTCTCCATGGTGGTGCGAGTGGAGGTCTCCGAGACCAAGAGCCCTTCGAGCAGGAGTGCTTCGCCGACACCACCCCCGTGGTGTCCGCTGCCCAAGAGGGGGAAACTGGTCGCCATCGCCCACAGGATTCGGGTTCTGACTGCGGTTCGGAGCCGGGGTCCAGCAGGAGAAAACAGAGGACGAGGAAGGACGAGTCGAAGGAGGACGAGTAGAAGAGGAGTCGCGGGAAGCACGAGGACGAGGAAGACGAGGAGAGGAGACCGACTCCCAGCAAGCACGAGGACGAGGAAGATGAGGAAGGCGAGGAGGACAGCTACGACGACACTGAGGTTGAGGAGGCGCTTGCTGGGGTCTTGGCCTCGAACTTGAGCCGGCGACCCATGGGTGCAGCCAGGCTGAGGGTTGCGGCCACGGCTTCGGTATCGAGCCGGAGGCGCGCGAACCCTCGTGACAAGCACGCGGCTTCGACATCGAGCCGCCGTGCGCCTGAGGAAACTGCTCCTGGCGTGACCGCCAGTGGAGGCGGACGCAGAGGAAAGCCAGTAGAGGAGCAGAGGAGACATATTAGAACCAGAGGAGAGACAGAGGAGAAGAGGAGGAGCATGCGCAGGAGAAGTGCAGAGGCAGAGGAGGAGCATAGTCAGCAGAGGAAAGCACGAGGATCAGAGGACAAGCAGAAGGAGCACTCTGGAAGCACTGTTACACGCACAAGGAGGCGAAGAGAAAGGAGTACAGCAGGAGACGAGCAGAGCTACACAACCAGCGCGCGCGTGATCACAGCGACACGCGGGCGTCCAACCGGTTTGGCTCGACAATGCTCCTTGGAGGTCTTCGACGGGCGCATCTTGGGGCAACGCGGCTTCGCATCCGAGCCGCAGTCGCCTGGAGAAGGCGCGCGCGCCCAGGAGTGCAAGACCCCGGATGCAGGACCAAAGAGAGCTGCACGTGTTAGGTCCATGGCGCGACGCATCGGCATCGCAGGAGCCATGAATCAGGCGGCAGCGTGAGGGGCGAGAGCGAATCGACATTGCGACCGACTCCGGAGCATCCACCAGCATGTTCCCTAGGAGCATGGCGGCGGAGCACCCGCTGCGCAAGGTTGCACCCCCTCGTACCTATAAGACCGCATATAAGCGCACTGTCCTGAAGGACGGCGAGAAGTAACTCGTCTGCGGTTTCCAGAGCGGCCGCGACATGAAGACGAATCGGGAGGTAGAGATACTCACAGACATGTTTCGAGTGTTTCTAAAATGGCTAAGACTGGTAGCTATGTATGTTTCGACTCGGACTCGAATGGCGGCAGCGGGATCTCTGATTACGGGACGGGCCAGAG